CTAGGCCGCAGGTGTTTGCCATCTGGCTCTGGCCCCTGTCAGACTTAGGGTGCTGGTCTCTGGAAATTCCTACATTCCCATGGAAAACAGGCACATTCCATTTGAAGAAAATATGACAAATATTTGCCTGGATCTATTAAAATTCATTAAAGGCTCAAACAAAACTGAATTTTGGATCATCTCTAAATGAATGATTCATTATGAATTATTCATCCAATCTCAGTAATTATCCTCCAGGTTACAGGTGAGGAAAGTGAGGCATAGAGAGTTGAGATAGTTGCATAGCTGGGCTTAGATCACAGGAGCTCAAAGTGTCTTGACCTCATCTGCCTGGCTGTACTTGTTATCATCTGATGCTGGGATTCTCAAAGAAGTCTAAGGGACTTAGTCCTCCAAGATGTACATGCCTTAATCGCCTAGGCTCCTTTGCAAATCTCAGCCTTCATATATCTGAAATATATGAAGCCCAAGCCATAGAAGTTGTCAGGGTAGACACAAGGTCAGGATTACCAAGGGGCTTAGGCCTCTAAAGAAGCTGATAGGTGTGTAGTGGAATTTACAATAGCACCTAACCAGGGTGGCTCCTAACTCCCATTGAGTGGTGTGACGGGCTGTGCCAGGCCTGGAGGCCCTGCTGGAGGCTTCGCAGCCCTACCACATCCAGCCCCAAGAAAGAGCAGAGGAGATGAGTCATCCAAGCTGCCTAGAGTGGCTGTGGGGAAGCAGCCAATCACAGAGGCTGCAGGAAACAGGCAATCAGAGTCCAGTAGGCTCCTATAAAAAGGAGCTGCTGGACAGAGCCAAATCAGTTGCTGGCTGGAGCCAGAGGAATGAAGGTGGTGCTCTTTGCTGGTTGCAGCAGTTCCAGGAGAGTGAGAAGGAGCAGTTGCTGGGGGGAAGTAAGAAAGAGCTCCTTGCTGGCTGCTGTGACTGAGTTCAAGACTTCAGCCTGAGCTAAGGGTGAAGGAAAGCTGGGTGGGGGCTGCGGGGAAGTGGCCCAGGGAACAGAAGTGAGCAGTTAAAGGGACACAGCAGGCAGCTGCTCTTTGTAGGGTCCCTGGGTTGGGACCTGTCATAGTGGGTGGGACTGGGTTCCCCCCACCAGACACTGGGAAGTGGCTTACTCCCAGAAGAAGGAAGTTGATGCAGGCCCAGAGAGGGGCCAAGAAACAGGTCCAGGGAAGGGTCAGCAAATTATTGAACTTTGGTATCCCCTGGAAGGGGATTGAATTGATAGCGACTGATAGTGGAGAGCTGGGATCAGAGAGGGTGAAGAGTCTCCAAGGAGGAAGCCCTTGGGGCACGACCCCACACCAGGACCGGGACTGGTTAAAGACTGACCCACGGAGAGCTGCAGGAAACCAACGAGGGTAAGAGTGAGAACTGAGCCCGGGGTGGGCTACAGAGATGTTCCAGTGGAGGAGTACTGTGATAGACCCCTGTTGGACTAAATAAGGATGTGAGCCCAGGGCGGGCTGCAGGAGGTGAGACAGACACCAACTGAGGGGTACTGTGATCG